TGGTATGGATGCCGAGTCAAGTTGTATGCCCAGGAATGTAACGATAGTGTCTGGGTCTTCTGTGACCTTAGGGAATACTGGGACACCCAATTGTTCAGACATACTAATGGCTTCCTTGAAGCTTCTAGAGGGAAAGGCATTCCCTTTGACCAACAAGAAATCTCGGGAGTGTATGACTGTGGGGCATCTGGATATGTTTAACCACAACCAGTAAAGAGTTCAACGAATATATTGAAGATTGTGGGCTGCTCTTGACCCGAAAGTTAAGCGGGAGAAGAAATATAATGCCCTGTAAGTGCCAGTGCAGGGTGAATGGTGGCAGTCTGAAATGCGTTTGTGATATCAGTTTTACTTAACCAGGCTTCCCCTCCCAGCTTGAGTGATAGTTGTCGTGGTATGAACAATGGTGGCATACTGAAATGAAAACTCTTCGGAGGGTATGAGGGAGTTGAGATTATGGGGAAGCCGAGGCGTGAGGTGCAGATAAGTCTATGATCAGTTACAGTGTGAGGGAAGATTTCCTGTGACAATCCCAATGGGATTGCGCCACACTGTAAATGGTGTAGATCAGAGAGGCCCAGGTAGAAATCTTTCTGCCATTTCTTGGGCCATGAGTGTAATGCCAGCTGTTGGATGCTGCTGTGATGACTGCAAGTTAGGGCATTCTAGATTCCCCCAAAAGTATATGGCAATACCTGAACAGAAGGCCTTTAAAATCGGAGATTAGGAAATAAACTAAATGTCTGGAAGGGTGATAAGTTAGAAAGTACTGGAAATGCATAATGTTTACAGACGAGAAGTAAGGTTCAGGGTACATTTATTGGGACACATGGTTTTTGCATGTGCCCTGACATATTGGGAACATATCTGCAACAGTCTGCATGCACTGAAACTACATGTGCCAACATGGAAATTGTTGCAAATCTGGGATTTGCCAAAGAGAATGAAACGACCCAATTTGTCTCTGGTAGTTCGCTACGTTCTACCAGAGGTGCTAGAGCCTGGAGCCTGAAACGTTATCGTACGCTGTGCTCGGACAAAATTGTCCTGTGGGACTAGCAACATCTCCAAGTGAATGTGTTGACTCTAGCTGGAGTGTTAGGTAGAGAGAAATCCTTATCACGTGTTTGATACATATTAAAAATCATGAAGATAGCCATTATTATATGAACCCACAGTGTGCTAGTACTGGCTTGCTAGCTAAAGCCGCAAGGCGAAACAATTAATCCTTTGTTTGGTGACAGGTGAGGCCCTGCTAGTTGCCAAGTGGCTTGAGAGGCTCTATCTATGCAATGGCGCGAGGGGATTTTTGTGGCCACCAAACGTAGTGGCAGGATGTTGGCTTCTCGGTGACTGTAACCATAAAAAAGGGGAAGGGAGTGACAGGTGAGGCCCTCTCTATATACCATGCGAGGCGGCTAGCTCACGAGTGGCCCGATGGGTGTTTGCCTCCGAGCGTTGAGGCGGGGTGTTGGCCTCGCGGGACCACTATACGACAGGCATAGATGCCAAGAAAGGAAAATATCTATTGGAAACCTATAGTCCCTAATTGCCAGTACGCTAAGGATATACCCAGGGGAAACAGAAAATGTATGTATATACCACATGAGCAGGTGTATGTACCTGGTAGTATGATTAGATACCCTTACTGGTCGTAAAGGTTATTAATACCTGTATCCCAGACGGGTAAAACAATGTATGAAAATCGAATATAGACATTTAAAAGCGTATATCCATATGTGTGTTATGCAAGTTTAATAGAGCAAAGTGCTCTGTCCCAATGTTTATTGTATGCTTGTAATGCCCCTGTTTGAAGGAAATTAACTTGTCGGGAGTGTTATATCATGTGTGATATGGAACACAACTGTACCCCGAAACATGAGTGTAGTGAACCATGACTGGCAGCTGAATAACCTAATAAGTGAAAATACATAATTGGAAGGACTTATATTTTAAGCGTGCAAATATTCCGTATTAGATTCTGGAAAACTGCATAGTGCTTTAAATAGTATGTGCATTCTTGGGTAAATGTATGCGTATTGTCAGTAAATGTAACTAAATGCCTATGAAGGCAGGTATGCAGGAATGATTATATGATAGTAAGCATGATTGTAAGGAAGTGTTATTGTGTAATTATAATTATAGTGGGAATGTTATGAGGGGAATAACCATATGTCTGAAAAGCCTGTAGTATACCGTTTGACAGATAGGAGTCAGTATAAAAGTGAAAATGATGTAGTTAGTTTGTTTGCTTATGAAGTGAAATAAAGTCGGAGAAGCCTGTAGTACACTGAATGACTGGTAAGGGTCAGCATGTAGGCAAAAATGCCGTGGTTCGTTGGTTTGTACATGAAATGCAATAATGTCTGAGAAACCTGTAGTACACCGAATGACCGGTAGAGGTCAGTGTGTAGGCTCAAATGCAGTGATTCGTTGGTTTGTAGATGAAATGCAATAATGTCTGAGAAGCCTGTAGTACACCGAATGACAGGTAGAGGTCAGTGTGTAGGCTCAAATGCAGTGGTTCGTTGGTTTGCACATGAAATGCAATAATGTCTGAGATGCCTGTAGTTACACCAAATGACTGGTAGGGGTCAGTGTCTTGGTGAAAATGCAGTGGTTTGTACATGAAATGCAAAAACTTCTAAGAAGCCTATAGTACACCGAATGACCGATAGGGGTCAGTGTCTAGGTGAAAATGCAGTGGTTCATTAGTTTGCACATGAAATACAATAATATCTGAGAAGCCTGTAGTACACTGAATGACTGGTAGGGGTCAGTGTGTAGGTTAAAATGCAGTGGTTAATTGGTTTGTACATGAAATGCAATAATGTCTGAGATGCCTGTAGTACACCGAATGACCGGTAGGGGTCAGTGTGTAGATGAAAATGCAGTGGTTCATGGTTTGTACATGAAATGCAATAATGTCTAAGAAGCCTGTAGTACACCGAATGACCGGTAGGGGTCAGTGTGTAGGCGCCAATGCAGTGGTTCGTTGGTTTGTACATGAAATGCAATAGTGTCTGAGATGCCTGTAGTTACACCAAATGACTGGTAGGGGTCAGTGTCTTGGTGAAAATGCAGTGATTTGTACATGAAATGCAAAAACGTCTAAGAAACCTGTAGTACACCGATGACCGATAGGCGTCAGTGTGTAGGCACAAATGCAGTGGTTCATACATGAAATGCAATAATGTCTGAGATGCCTGTAGTACACAGAATGACCGGTAGGGGTCAGTGTCTTGGTGAAAGTGCAGTGAAAATGCAGTGGTTTGTACATGAAATGCAAAAACGTCTAAGAAACCTGTAGTACACCAATGACCGATAGGGGTCAGTGTGTAGGCACAAATGCAGTGGTTCGTACATGAAATGCAATAATGTCTGAGATGCCTGTAGTACACAGAATGACCGGTAGGGGTCAGTGTCTTGGTGAAAATGCAGTG